GGATGGCGCGCTGGTCGAGCCCACGGCAAGCTAGGCCCAAATCAGGATTTGTGGTGCAGGGTGGCGGTGGCGCTTCGTAGCAGGGGTGAGGCTGAAGTGCAGATCGTGTGGACGGCCGCCCATCTTGAGGATACGGGCAGTGAGCTCACTGATTGGCAAACTTTCCTCACCTCGGGTAACGTGTGCGCTGGCGATTTTGCAGGTAAAGCCGCGGAGCAAGGCCTGCAGTTGTACACCCAGCAGCCTGTGCCCAAGACTGATATGTATGATTGTATTGCCCATTTTGTGAGACGCCGAGCCAGGCGCGCGTTGGTTTCTGCCCTGCAGGTCGATCCCTGGCAGGCGACTAGGTTGGGCAAGCAGCGTGTGCCTCCTCCCTCCCAGCAGACTCGAGCTCTCACTGACACCTCGCACGACTGCGAGCAGTATGGGTCGAAGTGGAGGTGCAAGCGATGCTGTCAGGTCGTCCCGTCCTCACAGCTGCTCAGATTTTGTGCCTTGTCCTGCCCTGGTCTTTTCCCAGCCGAAGTTTCGGTCGCCTCGCAGTGGTCGAAGTTCGTTCGTCGGCGAGGGGATGTCTGCATTGGCACAACTCTTGCGCACAGCACTCATCTTATACATCTCTGGCCTGAATTTTCCTTGCATTTCTGTTCACAGTGCGGCATGACTGCCACGATTGATGGCAGGTGGCTCGCCCGTAAATGCACGGCCCCCACCCCCAAAGGAGCTCAAAACCTTACGCGTTTAAGTAAGGGTTTGTTTCCCTCGCACAAAGGGCCCCCGCTTGTCATCCAGCAGATCCGCGCTGGGAGAGCGGCCGAGGCGGCCAACAGTGCGAGGAGAGCTCGGGGGGAGGAAGAGGCCAGTCAAGAAGAGGGCGGAGGGGGTGGAGCGTCGTCGTCGGTCGGGGAAGGGAGCGAAGCGAGTGTGCTGCGCGACGCGCGTGCTCTCTCGCGCGCGCCGCCCCCGCCCACGGCGCTGGCGGCGCTGGCGGCGCTGGTGGCGGGCAGGCGGGCCGCAGCGCCCGCCCCGCCCGAAGGGCGGCCCCGCGCGCGCCGCCCGACCTTCCTTCCTCACCGCGGGGACTCTTCTTCGGATTAGTCCCCGCCCAACTCGTTTTGTCTTGCCTGGACGTCGTCCCTTCATGGTTACTTCTGGTTGCTCCTCCTTCTCCTCCTTCTCCTCTTCCTCTCCCTCCTCCTCCTCCTCCTCCTCCTCCTCCTCCTCCTCCTCCTCCTCCTCCTCCTCCCTGGATCCTCGACCCTCCGTCCTCCTCGCGTTCGGTTTCTCGATCCTTGACCTTCGATGCTCATCCTACTCCACCCCGTTGGGTGTCGCAGTCCTGCTTAAGGCTTAGGCGCCTGAGGGGTGCAAGGCGGTTCTCTTTCAAAGCGGGGCCCTCGCCATTCTGGCAGGTCCTATGGCGCTGGTCTTATCAGGGGGACTTATTGCAGTGATCAGGGCGACTTGTAGAGACGCGTGAGGGTGGGGACTTGGGGCGGGGCAGTGTGTTGCAGCATCGCTGATACATCTTGGGTTTACTCTGGTAATCCTTCTTCTCGATCCTCGTTCCTCGAACCACTCATCGAGCCTCCTCCTCCTGCTCCTCCTCCTCCTCCTCTCCTTCCTTATCCTGCTCCTCCTGCTCCTCCTCCTCCTCCTCCTCCTCCTACCCATATTTTGTCTTCCCCCCCACTTCCAAAATTTTCCCATATTTTCTGGGGAATCGACGACTAATTGTGTCTGTGTGTTTTTTTCCCTCCTGAGTCTTGTGCCGCACTGGAGCGGTGTTCCGAGACTCCCTCGTGTGGAAAACAATACAAAAAAACGGCGGAGGATTTTTCGCTATTGTCAGCCTCCGGGGGCCCTTAACAGGCCTTGGGGCCGTCAAAAAACGCCTCGGGATGAAAAACCGGTCCCCGGGAAGGGATCCAGACTTCGGATGGCCACGCCATGACAAACAAAAACATGATGTCGGGGGTCTGGTCTTTTTCCCCTCAGGAAAAAAGGAAAGGAGTGGACCGCGCGGGGAGATTTTCGGCTGCTTCTGGTCACTGGACCGCGGACCGAGGGAGGATCGAGGATCGACAGTCGAGGGCCGAGGCCCTGGGAATCGTCATCGTCTGGTGTGCTGGTGGTGCTTCCCAGGGGCGGCTGGCGATGCGGATGGCGCGGCGGCCGAGGCTCTGAGCGGCTGGGTCGGCGGCCCGCTGCGCAATGGGTCCTCCCAGGCGGGGTCGGGGCAGACGGGGGGCCAAGACCGCCGAGGCATCGCAGACGCGTGGGCATCGCACTCGAGGCGAGCATCGCTGCCACTGCAGCGCGTGACTGCACACGCACTCTGCATGACTTGGCTGCAGGCGCGCATGCCTCCGTGGGAATGCATCTCGTGTGCGCGACAGCCCGGTGAGCGAGCCGTAGCCGCCGAGGCTCGGAGCTAGAAGCCACCAGGCACGTCTTGCAGCCAGATGGGCAGCATCGCGCCACCGCGAGCCTGAGAGCTCTTCGGCTCCATTTGTGTGCATTTACTTGTGTGTCCCAGGGCCCCTTCAAATACCAAACACACCTCGACACAGCTCACGGTCGGGGGCCCGCCCGCGGTGGGGGGCCGCGCGACGGGGCGGCTACGCGGGGCGCGTGCGCTCTCGGGGGCCACGCCGAGCCACCCCGCTGCCCTCGGGGCCCAGGCTCCCGGGCCGGGCGGCCGGGACAGCGGATCGAACCCTGCCAGACCAGACCCTCACCTTCCACCTCCTCCTCCTCCTCCTCCTCCTCCTCCTCCCGCCTCCTGCTGCTGCTCCTCCTCCTCCTCCTTCTCCCTGAACCCGGTTCGGGGAAACCCAAACATCCTCCGAGATGATTTTTGAACATCGCGGCCCCTTCCCCATGGGCCAATGGGCTGGAGTCCGCAGCCGATCGAAGGCCGAGGACCAGCCCTTCGACGACATGATCTGTTGAGTATGAGCTAGAGATCGATTCTTGATAGCCCCGCGGCCCGATCACGGGCCTCTGGAGGATGCCATCGAGGAACACGCCCATATTCAACAAGTTGTTGAATATGGATGTGCTCCTCGGTGAACACTGTGATGGACGTGTTCCTCGATCAACAATGTGGACGTCGTTGAATATGGACGTGGTTGAATGTGGATGTTGTTGAATATGAGTTGTTGAATCAACAACTCACATCGTCAAAGATCTGGTTCTCGGCCCTCGACTGGCTGTGGGAAGGTCGCCGGCGGGCGCGGCCCAGGCCGCTCATTCATCTGCCCGCGGCAAGCCCCGCCACCGCGCCAGTCGAGCTGCCTGCGGTTCAGGAGGGCTGTGGCGGACGACGGGGATGAACAACATGATGATGATGATGATGATGATGATGATGATGATGATGATGATGATGCTGATGATGCTGAAGATGATGATGATGATGATGATGATGATGATGACGATGATGATGATGATGATGATGATGATGATGATGATGATGGTGATGGAGATTGTGATGGATGTTGTGATTTCGATGGCAATGGTGATGATGATGATGCTGATGATGCTGATTGTGGTGATGATGGTCGTGATGATGATGATGGTGATGCAGATGATGCTGATGATGGCGATGGTGGTTATAATGGTGACGGTGATGGGTATGGTGATGGCGATGGTGATGATGATGATGGTGATGATGATATTGATGATGATGATGATGATGATGATGATGTTGATGATGGTGATGGTGATAGGGAACATAATGTTGATGGCGATGGTGATGATGATGGTGAGGATGATGATGGTGGTGGTGGTGATGATGTTGCTGTTGAGGATGGAAACGGTTGTGATGGTGATGGCCCTGGTAACGGCCCGCGGTAACGGCGGTGAAGATTATGACAATAATGCTGATGTTGATGACGACGACGATGTCGATGATGATGTTGATGATGATGATGATCATGATGGCAATGATGATGATGCTGATGATATCGGTGGTGGTGATGATGATGACGATTTTGATGGTGATGGTGATTGTGATGGCCATGGTTATGCTGATGGCGATGGTGTTGTTGATGACGTTTCTTCTGATGGTGATGATACTCATACTGATTGGGATGGACATGTCGATCGTAATGGAAATGGTACTGGCAATAGTTAGGATGATGGTGATGATGATAATGGTGTTGGTGGTGATGCTGATGCTGCTGTCGAGGATGATGACAATGGTTATGGTGATGGTGATGGTGATGGCGATGATGATGGCGATGCTGATGATCATGACGATGCTATTGATGATATGATGACGATGCTGAGGATGATGCTGCCGATGATGGAGATGGTGATGATGATGATGCTGATGATGCTGATATGATAATGTTGATGCTGATTACGACGATGATGCTGATGATGCTAGTGATGATAAGGTGATGATGGTAGGGATGGTGATGGTGAAATCGCCGATGATGCTGTTGCTGATGCTTCTGAGGCTGATGAGAATGATGACGACGATGATGATGATGCTTCTGATGCTGCTGATGATGGTGATGGTGCTGGTGATGCTGATGATGCTGATGATGATGCTGCTGATGATGATGCTGATGCTGCTGCTGCTGATGATGATGATGATGATGATGAGGGTAATGATGGATATGATTGTGCTCATGATGATGCTGCTGAATAGGTTGATTGATGGTGATGATGATGATGGTGATGATTATGGGCATGATGATGGTGCTGATGCTGCTGCTGTTGCTGATACTGATAATGATGATGATGACGATGACGATGACGATGACGATGACGATGATGATGATGATGATGATGATGATGATGATGATGCTGATGCTGCTGATGCTGGTGCTGATGATGATAATGATGATGATGATGATGATGATGATGATGATGATGATGATGATGATGATGATGATGATGATGATGATGATGATGATGATGATGATGATGGAGAAGGAGAAGGTGGAGGAGGAGGAGGACGGCTGCCGGACGGCTCTCGGCCCGAGGGGGAGGCGGCCCCCCTCGGCCGCCCGCTCCGACGCGCGCCGCCCGCGCGCGCACCGCCCGCGCGCGCGTCAGCCGCGGCGGCGCCGGAGCCCGCCATGGAGGTGCGGCGAGTCGTGCGTCCGTCCGTCTCTGCGCCCGCCGGTGCTCGTCGGCGTGGGCGGCGGGGGCGGGGAGGGAGGAGGGGATCGCTCCCCCCTCCAGCGTCCTCCGCCTCCTCGCCCCGTCCTTCCTCCTCGCTCCTCCTCCTCCTCCTCCCCCTCCTCCTCCTCCTTCTCCTCCTCCTCCTTCTCCGCCTTCTTCTCCTCCTCCTCCTCCTCCTCCGCCTCCGCCTCCGCCTCCGCCTCCGCCTCCCCCTCCGCCTCCGCCTCCGCCTCCTCCTCCTCCTCCTCCTCCTCCTCCTCCTCCTCCTCGGCCGCCCTTCTCTTCTCTGGCAGGGGGCGCTCCTCCTCTTCCTCCTCCTCCTCCCTTTCTCCCCCGCCCCCTGTCACGGGAGGCGGGTCTGGAGGAGGCGGCAGGGCAGGGAGAGCAGCGGGCCAGTCGAGGGCGAGGCCAGCGATGGCGGGCGAGGGATGGCGGGCGAGGGAGGAGGGCGAGGGAGGAAGGCGAGGGGGATGGGGGAAAGCGCGGGGCGAGGCGTCATGCAGTCCAGGACGAGGCGAGGGAGGGGGGCGATAGGTGGGCTTTACGTCCGTGAGGCCGTGGCCCCTTCTCCTGGCCCTGTCCCGGGAGGCCCCCGGCCGCCGCGGCCTGGATCCTCCACCTCGGAGGGCCCTTGCCCGAACTGTGCATTGGAAGAGGCCAAGGGGTCGTCGCTCTGCGAGGAGGAGCAGGGGGGAGACGATGCTGGGGAGCAGGAGGAGGAGGAGGATGAGGAGGAGAACAGGATGCGCAGGAGAAGGAGGAGGAGGATCAGGAGTACACGGATGATACGAAGCATGAGGAGGAGCAGGAGAAACATGATGAAGTTGTTTCTGATGGTGACGACGATTATGGTGATTGTGATGATGATGTTGATGATGATGATCTTGGTGTCATTGCGAATGATGATATGATGGTAATGGTGATGGTGATGGTGATCTGCGGTTCCGAAAATGGTGGTGGTGAGGTTGTTGTTGCTGTGGAGGATGATGGCGATTGTGATGGTGATGTTAGTTTTGATGGTGGTACTAATATGATGACCACGATGGAGATGATGATGCTGATGGTTATGACGACGATGCTGCCGATGATGGTGATGGTGATGACGAGTGTTGTCGGCATGCTAATGGTAATACTGAAGATGTTAGTGATGATCATGATGAGGATGAGGATGCGGATGATGATGCTTATATCAGGATGATGATGTTGATGATGCGGATAATGATGCTGATGATGATGACGATGACGAGGGCTGGCAGACGGGTTAAGGGGAGCCCAATAAGAGGGACTCCAATAGAACGTCAAAAGAGCGGGAATTCGAATTGACACTTCGCGCTCTCCGCCCCAAGATGGCCCCCGAGACCGTCGGCAGGCCCCCAAGGGGCCCACCAGAAGCCCCAGGAGGCCGACAGCTTTCCAAATCAGGACCCAGGAGGCCCCCCAGAGGCCCCAAGACACTCCCCAAATCGCCTCCGAGAGGCTCCCGAGCGGCTTTCCAAGAGACGCCCCCCAGAGGCATTCAAGCGGCCTCTGGCCCACAATCCAGGTGCGGATGTGGGGTCTTGCGGAGTACAGTGCCCTCGTTGCGCAGCCTGCACTTTGCAAGCGAGAATGTCGCTCTGCACGCGCGTTCCAAGTTGTGTGGCGAGCGCCGAAGCGGCGAACACACAGAGGGTAGAAGGAAGGGAGGGGATGGGAGGAAGAAGGAGGAGGGGAGGAGGAGGGGAGCAGACAGGGACCAGTGCGCGGCGGGCCTGCAAGCACCACCACCCCCGACCTGCAGGTGCGCCTTTCGGGCACCTGCGGCCTGAGCGACGACCATGTGGTCTCCATTAGCGCGGGGACCACGCGCAAGCTGTCCACGGCGGGGACGCTGCTGAAGAAGCCGATGAGGCTCGCCACCGCCAACGCGAAGCAAACGTCAGAGGAGGACAAGGTACCCATACAGCTACCCTTCATCGTTTTCCCCTTTTTGGGCCTTGTGGGAGGCTTGTGGCTAGGTGTGCATACGCCACATGCGGGCCCTTCGGCCTCGTTCAGCGTCGGCAGCGACCTGCCGTCTCTGTGGCCAGTTGGTTCACCCGCGGCCGCAGTGGAGAACGCAGGTGGCCCAGTGCCACGAGGTTTCGGGTTAGGGTCGGGTCGGCCAACCCTAGCCTCCCTCGTTAGCCTTGTGATTGTCCTCGTGGTCGTTATCGTGGTCGTGGTCGTGGTCGTGGTCGTGGTCGTGGTCGTCGTCGTCGTCGTCGTCGTCGTCGTCGTCGTCGTCGTCGTCGCCGTCGTCGCCGTCGTCGTCGCGCGACCCCCTGGCTCCGACCGGCCTGCGCGCCTCTGAGGACACCATGTGCCAGAATCCTGCGCATCTACACCTGCCCCGGCCAGGCCGGTTCTGGGCAGGCCCATCCTGGGCCCTGGATCGGCGTCTTAGGAGGAGGAGGAGGAGGAGGAGGAGGAGGAGGAGGAGGAGGAAGAGCCACGCGCAGAGGGGGGCATGGGGGAGGGGGGAGGCTTCTCAGAATCACCCCTGCTCCTTAGAAGGCGCGGGCCTGCTTTGTGGATGTATGGCTGGCGCCTTTTAAGCAGCAGCCTCCTTCTAAGAAACGCTCCCCCTCCTCTTCTTCCTCCTCCTCCTCCTCCTCCTCCGCCTCTGCCGCCTTGTGCGCGCGGCCAATGTACGCCGTCGTGCCCAAGCCAGGAAGGCAGACACACCGATCCTGGGCCCGGGAGGGGCCCGGCCAGGACGGGTGCAGGAGTCTCGTTTGGGCTCCCTCCTGGCCGCGCTCGAGGGGCAGGGCGCGGCGTGACTGGAGCGGTGCAATGCAGATCTCTTGGGGTCAACTTTTCCCCTCCCCCCCCGTCGTCGTCGTCGTCGTCGTCGCCGTCGTCGTCGTCCTCCTCCTCCTCCTCCTCCTCCTCCTCCCGCTCCTCCTCCTCCTCCTCCTCCTCCTCCTCCTCCTCCTCCCGCTCCTCCTCCTCCTTCTCCTCCTCCTCCTCCTCCTCCTCCTCCTTCTCCTCCTCCTCCTGTTTGTCCTGCCAAATCATGCTTCCACGTCGCGCCCCGAGGCGTGTCGGCAGGGCGGGCTGGGCGTTTCGCGGGAGACTTCTTCACCGCTCGTGATCCTGAGGCGGAAACTCTGCATGAGCTTCACGGATGTAAGGCGGGCCGTTTTCAAAACGCGTGTCTCGCCTCAGCGCCTTCGCGCAGTCGCTGTCACGAATTGCAGGGTTTTCGCGAAGGGAGCCCGGGTGGCTTTCGACGTGTGGCTCTCCCTTCACCGCCGCGCACACTCGTGCTGAGCAGAACTGCCAGAGCTTCACGGATGGAGGGCGGTTCTTTTTCAAAATGTAGTTCTCGCTTTAACGCCGCGCGCATTCGTTTTAATTGTTTGCAGCAGTTTTAAGGAGTCACATGGTTAACATCACCCAGAAGTTGTGTTTTGGTATGATGTCGGACTGTCAGGGCGCAACCGTTACGTTGTTTCGCGCTGTTGAATTCCAAGGAACTGTGTGTTGGCGCGATCCAGGATCGCCAAGACGCAGCAGTCATGGTGCGTCGCGGCGTTGAAGTCCCATGAATGGTGTTCAAACGGTTGTCTTCCAACGGGGCATTTACCTCAGTGAAAATGAATCCTTGTAGGGTCCTGTAAAGAAGGAGCTTCGAGGGAGGGTGTGTTGCAATGTCGTTGAGGAGTCTTGGGTTCACACTGGTCCTCCTCTTGCTCCTCACCTGGCGAGTGAAACACGCCAGAGGATTCGCCGGAGGGGGGGGTCCAGCGCCGACCCAAGCATCCCACGCTGCACCGCATAGATTGCACCGTGCGCAGACTTGAAACGCTGAGCTTGCACCACCTGTACTTTATCACACAGGCTTGCACCACGTAGAGTGGAAC